GTGCGCGCCGCCAGAGTCACGGTGGGCACGCGAGCGGCGAGGTAGGCAGCGGCGATCCCGGATCCGCCCTCGGTGTAGCGTTGTGCTGCTCCGACTTAGTTTAGCCTTGATCACCAGAAGGAATGTCGAACGCCAGAGAAGTACCGAAACTCGAGGGTTTTCACGTGTGGGGCCCCGGGAGACACTGGTCCGACACTGTTTCGACACTCTTTAGACACTTTTCCGGGTGCTCGAAATTGTTTCTGGGATGTGGTCCTTAAGTACGATGGGGGCAACATAAGTGTAGCTAGGCCTCCTAGATGGGGTCCGAGCAGACGGGGTCGGGGGATCGCGCTGCGTCGCCGATGCATCGGCTACGCGGCTCGATGCGAAGCCCGATTTTCGCCATGCCGACGGCGCCGGTGCTTCGCCGACGTCGCCGATGCATCGCTGATGCATCGGCGATGCATCGGCGATGCATTGGCGATGCATAGGGATGCGGTGCGATCCTCCGACCCCATATACTCGGACCCCATCTGGGAGGCCTCCAGGCACGCGAGCGGCGAGGTAGGTAGCGACGATCGCGGATCTGTTCTCGGCGTATACAGATCGAGGGGTTGGTTCGGGGAGAGTGACCTAATGCTCTTCGTGCTTATTTCGGATCTGGGATGAACTACATAATCTATTTACTCCAGAATTGATTTCCCCGCCGAGTAGACAAGAAGCACGTAGAGTATTCGTGTATCTACGGGACAGTATACGCATGTTTTTGCAGAGTCGGCCGGAAAATCAATTTTGGGGTAAATCAGCTATGTAGTCAATCCCCCCCTTGATTGTTGGATGCTCTCGTGCATCCTGGGGATGGTACCCTTGAATGTTCTGTTTGTTTTGGCTCGTGTTCTTGATGGTTGTTCGTCTGGCTTAGGTTTATGATGTTCCAACCTACTTTAGCCTTGGCCACCAGAAAGAAGCTGGAGCACGAATAGAGTACCAAGACTGTGAGGCTTTCACACGTGCCGGGCCCTGGGAGGCCGTACTCGTTCGACACTGCGCCAGCGTGTCGTGCATACACTGTTTCGACACTCTTCCTGGGTGCGCGAAATTCATTCTGGGATGTGGCCCTTTGACGTACGAGGGGAACTACAGTCAAAAACCCTAATAAGGACGCGCGACTTTGCTCAGGGTACCCTTGCGTCCTTGCTCTTCCCTGCTCTTGCGTCCTTGCTCTTCCTCGAGATGCGTCGTCCGCCGCCCCCCCAAATCCCCACTTCGGCTTCCAAGGGTCTTGCGTCCTTACCGCGCGTCCTTATCGGGCGACGAAATCTATACATATCCACTGCTCCCTGACCATGCCCATCTTGAACCCAGGAGCTGTGTATGCGCCCTCCTGGCCAAGCCAGGAGGGCGTGGCGTATACACCGCTGCGGGGTTGAGGATGGGCCTGGCCAGGGAGCAGTGGATATGTATAGATTTCGTCGCCCTACCTTATTAGATTAGGGTTTTGATTGCAATATACCCAGGTGCGACTGCAGCTCTGCGCCCCGGATCCGTGCGAAGTGGCCCTGGAGCCCCCGAGAGCGCCCCCCCCCCCCCCCTATCGGGGTGCCGAGTATCAAGCGGAGACCCATGCCAAGGAGCACCCTGCTTGCCTCCAGGGTGCCCTGGGTTTCCTGGGTCTCGATGATCTTGACCTGGAAGGCGTGGCGTTCCCGCGCCAAGAAGGAAGGGACGTCCTGGGGTCTCGGGGTCGGGCTTCTGGTGGAAGGTCTCTTGTGGTCGAGCCCCCCCCCTGTATGCATTCCTGGGAGACGGGCGCGCAGGCCTCGGGGGAGAGCCGTGGCGCGGAGAGAGCTCGGGGGGAGGAGCGGGTACCCCCCATACCACCACCCTCTGCCCGTGCGGCGCGGCGGACCGTGCGGAGTTTTTTTTTTTTTTTTTGTTTTTCCTTAGCAGCGCTTCGCTGGAGGCTTCTGGCGGAGAGATAGAACAAGATACACAGGAGAGTCCCACGGGTCAGAGGAGGAACAGGTACCCATATACCTCTACGCCTCTCTACCTGTCGTCCCCTTTCTGGGGCCTCCTGGGCGGCCCTCGTCGCTACCGCTGGATTCGCATCGAGATTTTGGTCAGAACGCACCCCGGGAGAGGTCCGGGGAGCAGCGGTATCGGTGCGTTTCTTCTTCCCCAATGGGGGGAACAGGTTTGGAGGGAAACGGTTCCTGAGGCTTTTCGCTGTCTTGGGTCTTTTGTGTGCACCTATGCCTCTACCCTTCCCCTGTTTCCCCCTTTTTGGGCCTCCTGGGATGTTCTCGTTGTCGCCGCTGGGTTCATACTCATCCTCGTCATCATCTTCGTCATCGCAATCATCATCATCATCATCATCATCATCATCATCATCATCATCATCATCATCATCATCATCATCATCATCATCATCAGCAGCAGCAGCAGCAGCAGCAGCAGCAGCAGCATCAGTAGCAGCATCATCATCATCACCACCATCATCATCATCAGCAGCATCAGTAGCAGCATCATCATCATCACCACCATCATCATCATCATCCTCCTCCTCCTCCTCCTCATCATCATCATCACCATCATCATCATCATCACCACCATCATCATCACCACTATCCTCATCATCATCATCCTCCTCCTCCTCCTCATCATCATCATCATCATCACCATCATCATCGCCATCGCCATCGCCCTCGGTATCGGAGCGGCCCCTGGGAGAGGTTCGGGGAGTGGCGGCATCGGCACCTTTTGGTCTCCCCCAGAGCGGCCCCTGGGCAGGCTGCCCCTAACCCCCCCCCTGTGGCGCCAGGCCCCCCCCTGGAGCGCGCGCCGCCCGAATCGGCCACGCGCAGGCAGCGACATCACAAGGACAACAGCGACAGCGATAGCAACGGTAACGATGCCAACGATCACGACGACAACGACGATAACACCGAGAGCAGCGATAACGACAGCGATAGCGTTGGTAACGGTAACACCGACGGCGGTAATGATGGCAACGATCACAACGCCAGGAGCGATGCCAATGACAACGAGAACAACGGCACCAGCGATAAAGCACGATAGCGATATTGTTGCTATCATCGTTATCGTTGTGGGGTGCGGCCGGACCGAGGTGTGAGATCGAGGTCGGCTCGAGGCGGGTATGCCTGGAGGTCCGACGCTCCGAGAAAAGTGGAGCAGCCGGTTTTTGGCTGTCTTCGGCCTGGCCCTTGCCGGGCCTCGGGGCCGTCAGCAATAACGACTCAGGATGAAAACCCGTCTCTGGGGATGTGGTCCAGATTTCCCGAGCCCACGCATCGAGCAAATTGGAGCGGCCAGATGTCTGGGTACCCTAATGTTCTTCGTGCTTGTTGGATGTTCTTGTGCATCCTGGGGGAGGGTACCCTGGCATGTTCTGCAGCTTGGCCGGCGGAGGGTCTCATGTTCTTGAGGGATGTTCTTCTGTCCTAGGTCCGACTGTACCGGCGATGTAGGTTTCGGTATTGTAGGTGGGGGTGGTTCATGGCCAACCCCACTGTAGGAAAGGCTCGCTCGTGTTTTCCAGCAAATTGTTCTGCGCGAGAGTTCGGCGTCGGAGGAACCGAATTCCCAGCATTGACGTCAACCAACATAGCCGTCAGCGTGGTCTTGGAATCAGCCGCGGGGGTAGGGGGAGGGGGGAAGGCGTCTTAGCAAGAGGTTGCTTCTCAGAAGGCGCGGGCCTTGTCTATAGATGCAAAGCAGGCACCTGCTACGAGGCCTTCCCCCTACCCCGCACCCTTTGTGCGCGCCGCCAGCCCCTTGAGAGCGCGCCGCCAGAAGGCGGCTGGACCCGCAGACGTCGCTGACCTACCACCTGGAGGACGCGCCACCGACCGCCAAGCGCCAGCTCATCTGCGAGCGGCTGCTGCCGGTCGACGAGCTCGCGGACTCCATCGGCACGCTGACGCAGCGCATCCACCTGTTCGACCTGGGGCAGGGTGGGCTGGGAGCCGGAGCAGAGAGCGATGCGGTCAGGGCGTGGCGTGTCGCTGGGGCCGCCTATGCGACGCCAGGCAGAGGATCCCGACCCTTCTCGTTCTTGTCTCGTTCTGATACCAGTGCTTGAGTCTGGGGTCGACTGCAGAACGGATTTCCCCTCCGAGTTAATTTTCTCGTCGCGTCGCACGCAGGATGTTCTCGTAGATTGACGCGTCTCTCATGGATTCGACGAGCTTATCAAGTTTGGGGTAAACCAATTCTGTAGTCGATCCCCCACTCGAAGTGCCCTTCCCTCGTGCTTGCCCCTGTCTGTGCCTCCCTGGGCCTCACTCATTTCTTGCTTTCGCCCCTCTAGGCTCTCCTGGGACCTGGGGGGCCCTCGTCTCACCCGGGGATCCTGGTCGTTTTTTTCCCCCCCGCCCTCAGAGCCCCCAACGGATCCCGCCGAAAGGCCCGACTCAGGCCTCGACGGCCCACGGCAGCTGCTCGTAGCCGCCGACCCCGTGCACCCGGTCCAGCGACGCGTTGGCCCCGAACTGGCCGTCGATCTGCGGCGCGGCGCCGAGTCCGATGTCCTGCACCCCGAAGCCGCAGTCGAACTCAGCCGCGCTGAGCAGGCAGGACCCGATCCCGCGGCAGCGGCTGGAAGCGCGCCCCGGGAGAGGCCCAGGGAGCAGCGGCGTCGGGCCCAGCTCCAAGACGGCAGGGCCTGCGCGCTCGGGGCGCTCTCCTCCGGGGCCTCGGCCTCCGGGGCCTGTTCTATATGGGGCCCAGGGGGCCGCCAGGAACGGGAGAGGTCTGGGGGGCAGCGGCATCGGGCTCAGATCTGCGACGACAGGAGTTGCGCAATCGAGGCGTCTTTTCTTCTCTGGCCTCGGCCTCGGGGGCCCGTTTTGTCGGGCGCCAGGGGCCACCAGCGCACGGGGCCCCGAGGGCGGCGGAAGGAAGGCGAGGCCGCCCCCGCCAGCGGGGGCCCTGGGCTGACGAAGCCTGAGCGGGGGAGATCTCTTAATTGAGAACAAAAGAACTCCTAACCCTACTAACACGATGAACTTGGGTCCCCTCCCAAAGGGTTAGGGGTCTTTTTCGGGTTAATCACGTCTGGGGGATTTGGGCGTCCTCCTGGGCGCTCCAGACGGGGCGTCGCTGTGGAGGACCGAAGGGGTTTTGCCTTCTCCGCCTCGGCGGAAGGCACCCCCGGGGGGCCGCCCCTGCGCGGAGCGCCTCCGCGGGGTCGCGCCTCTGTGGGCTCGTCCTGGGGCGCCCCCAGGAAGGGGCCTCGCCTTCCGGGGTGGCAGGAGTTTTGCCCTCCCTCCCCTCGGCAGAGGGCGTCCTCCGGGGCGCTCCAGGAGGGGGCCTCGCCCTCGAGGGTCGAAGGAGTTTTGCCCTCCCTCCCTCGGCGGGAGGGCGGCGGAAGTCAAAACGAGGCCGCCTGCATGCACCGGCGGAAGCTGGCGGGGTCGCCCCTGGAGGGGGGGGGCAGAGCGGCCTTGAGACAGACGATCCCCAGTCGGAGCGCCTCCGTGGGATCGCGTATCCGTGGGATCGTCCTGAGGCGTTCCAGAAGGGGCCTCTGCGTCCCTGCGTCGCTCGGCGGGAGGGCGGCGGAGGGCGGCGGAAGTAAGACGAGGCTGCCTCCGCCGGCGGAAGCTTTCAGTCGGGCGTGTCCCTCTACAGGAGGAATCCTTCAGCATAGTTTAAATAATTGTGTGACAGCGATTTGTTGACGATGCTGTTTGATTATTGTTTGATGTTGTTGTTGGTATTTTTCCTTTTTCGTCCAAAATCCGCCTGTAGGGGGACATGCCCGACCCAACGGTAGCTGGTGGAAGGATGGCGGAAGCCGGCGGAGGTCAAAGAGGCGCACCCAGGAGATGGAAACGTGTTGCCAAATTTGTAGTTCTCCTTCTTCTCCCCCCTGCCTCCTCCCGGGCAGTTGTTGGCTACCACGCTGCCCACTGCATCTTTCCGCCGGTTTCGCGCATTCCTCGCACCGCCAGCTCACCATCACGGACCGGTCTGTTTTCGTTCATCGGTTGTGTCAGTCAACCCGCATAGTAAGGATGAGCGACTTTCCGAGGTTACCCTTACATCCTTCCCCATCGGCCCATCTTTGGCCGCTTTCGCTGGCCGCGCCCAGCTCACAAGGTGTCGACACTGCCTTCCAAGGCCCTTGCATACTTATTGCGCGTTCTTCCCAGACTCCCGACGTCATGATTTTTTCACAACGACGACCCCCAGAGGTCTGGACTCCTTCCCCGGGACCAGTTTCTCGCCCCGAGTCGTTTGTTGACGGCCCCGAGGCCCGGCGTGGGCCCCCCGAGGCCGAAAATAGCGAAGAACTCTCCGCCGTGATCTTTCCACAGCGCGAGATGGCCTGGGGTACTTTTTTCGGGTGGACAGCAGTCCTCGCCACCACCGGTCTCGTGCAACATAGTAAAAACCGTAGACGCGCTAACGGTGTGCGAATGGAGATGTAGGAACAGCAATTGTAGGAAAGCGTGGTTCGTGGCCAAACCACTTGTAGGAACGCGTGGTTCGCGTTTTCCTACAACTCGCTGTGTCGTTCTCGTTCGATACAGTCGCGTATTTCACATGTAGGAAAGGAAACGGTGTTTCGTGATGTTCCCAACCGCACCCTTGACCAAGTACGCCGTTAGCGCGGCCTTGGAAAATTCAGGGGCCTTGACGTCTTCTCGTCCCCCCCCCCAGGCGGGCTGGACGCCTCCCTCTCGCACTTCGGGCCGCTGCCAGACGTGCCGCGCCTGGTCTGCGTGGACGCGAACCGGTCGCTGGACGAGGCTCGGCGGCGCGCCGCCGGGGGTGGAAGTGCTGAGGGGGAGGGCCATGAGGGTTTCTCCGCAGGGCTTAGGCGACCCGTCCTCCTCCTCCCTCCTCCCCCTCCTCCTCCTCCTCCCTCCTCCTCCTCCTCCTCCTCCTCCTCCTCCTCCTCCTCCTCCTCCTCCTCCTCCTCCTCCTCCTCCTCCTCCTCCTCCTCCTCCTCCTCCTCCTCCTCCTCCTCCTCCTCCTCCTCCTCCTCCTCCTCCTCCTCCTCCCCCTCTCCCCCTACCTGCCTCGGGTCGCCTACGGCCCTGGGGGAAACCGTGCACCCAGGGGTGGAAGTGCTGAGGGGGAGGGCCTTTTTCTTTCGGTGGCACATAATCGACTACGAGTAAGAGTGACCTTTCGCCGGAGTGACCTTTGGTGCGGGCCCAGAGGGGCCCCCCGATCGCCGAACGAGATGTGATAGTGGCGTCTTGCGCTCTCGGGTTTGACCCCCCCCTGGCCCCCCAAAAAGCCGCGCACCAAAGATCACTCTTACCAAGGGTCACTCTTGCGTGCAGTTGAAATCATGGGAGCCTGGTGTGCCCTCGTAGTTCTGTCTTTGGCGTCGATTCGCGTCGTTTAGCGTCTGGGAGTCGATGAGACAGCGCCGATTTGGCGTCGGTCAGCGTCGATCAGCGTCGATTCAGCGTCGATGAGCGTCGATTCGCAAGAGCCGACAACATGGTATGGGAGGCTCCCATGAGTTGCCACCGAATCTTCTCGGCGGCGAGAAGATCCGAACCCTATCCTCGCCGATCAACGATTCAGGCAATTCGATGGGCGGCGGGGGTACAGTCAACCTTGATTATTCGTTCGGACGATCGACTTCCCAAGGGTACCCTTGCATCCTTGCCTCTTCGGTCGTCCTCGGTCCATCCTCACCCACTTTCAATGGCCAGTCCCGCTAGAAGAGCCTTGGCATGGGCTTCCAAGGCCCTTGCATACTTACCGCGCATCCTTGCCATCTGGGTTGGCTGCATCCTCGCCGATCAACGATTCAGGCAGCTCGATGGGCGGTCGGGGCAGGGCTCGGATGTCGCCACCTGCTCTCAGAAGGCCGCGAGGCTCCTCAGAGGCCCTCTGGCCTTCTGAGGAGGTTCCCTGCGGTTTCGGAGAGGGCTCGGACATCTTCTCTCAGAAGGCTGGAGGACTTCTGAGCCTTCTGAGAAGCCCTGCCCCCTCCCCCAGGGCCCGACGTTGCGAAGACAATGCGACCTCGCACCGAACCTCGGACTGGAGCCGGGGACCCCTGGATACCGCTGCTGCCCGGACCTCTCCCTGGGGGGTGCGTCCTGACCAGGATCTCGAGGCGAATCCAGCGGCGACAACGTGGACCTCCCGGGAGGCCCAGAGAGGGGAAAACTCGGAGCTCAAGAGACGGGGGTCAATGCGAACGGGGGTCAGTCAGGGCTCCGGATCCTGCAGGATCCTGCAAAGACCCCCTCTGGCTGACCCGGGTTAGCGAGCCGTTCGTGGCCGCGAGGCGGCCGCGCATATTGGCTGACCCAGGTTTGCGAAGACCTGCGTTGTAGTTTTTTTTCTGCATTGCAGTTTTGTGGTTTCCTGCTGACCCGGGTCTGGATTGACCCGGGTCAGAAGATCCCCGAAAAACGCGGGAAGGGTAGAGGTAGGGGCACCACAAATTGCAACGTCGTGAACAATCATCTAGGCCTCCTAGATGGGGTCGGCGTAGATGGGGTCGGAGGATCGCGCCGCGTCGGCGATGCATCGACGATGCATCGGCGATGCATCGGCGATGCGGCTCGATGTGGGGCCCACTCTTCTCCACGCCGACGTCCCCGATGCATCGCCGACCTCGCCGGTGCATGGCCAGTGCATGGCCGGCGCATCGCCGATGCATCGGCGATGCATCGCCGATGCACTGGCGATACGGCGCGATCCTTCGAGCCCATCTACTCTTATGTCGGGCGTGTCCCCCTACAGGGGGATTTTCGACGAAAAATTATAAATACACCAAAAATGCACTCCAAAGGCAAAGAAACATATTAAACAAATAGTCCCCAGATTATTTTTGGACTTTTTTTGGTAATTTTTTGGGAATTTTATTTTTCGTCGAAAATCCCCCTGTAGGGGGACATGCCCGACATAAATTTACTCGGACCCCATCCATGAGGCCTCGTAACCACGACCTGGGGCCCTGGACCCCCCTCCTCCTGCGTCCTTTCTCGAGCCCGGCTCGATCTGCGAGGGGCCCGCCGCTGGGCGGAGGGTGCCCTGGCGCGGCAGACATTGCAGCGCCAGGAGCGGGGTCTTGAGCTTGCCGAGGAGGCTCGCCCCCCCCCCCCCCTCCCCCTCCCCCTCCCCTCCCCTTACCCTCCTCCTCCTCTCTCCTCCTCCTCCTCCTCCTCCTCCTCCTCCCTCCTCCTCCTCCTCCTCCTCCTCCTCCTCCTCCCTCCTCCCCTCCTCCCCCTCCCCCTCCCCCTCCCCTCCCCCTCCCCCTCCCCCTCCCCTCCCCTCCCCCTCCCCCTCCCCCTCCCCCCTCCTCCTCCTCCTCTCCTCCTCCTCTCCTCCTCCTCCTCCTCCTCCTCCTCCTCCTCCTCCCCTCCTCCTCCTCCTCCTCCTCCTCCTCCTCCTCCTCGAGGTGCACCTTTCCTTCCTCGCGTCGTGAACAAAAATCACGGCGTGAGGTTTTTGGCCATTTTCGGCCTCTGGGGGCCCTCGCTGGGCCCCAGGACCGTCAAAAAACGACTCGGGGCGAGAAACTGGTCCCCAGGAATGGGTCGAGACCTCTGGGGGTCGACGTTATGACACGTCCTGGCGTCGGGGGTCTGGGTGGCGAACGTATCCGGATCCGCGCCCTCGCGGTCTGGACTCTGGGGCGCGATCCTGCGGATGCGCCGTCGCACGGATGCGTTCCGCTCGGGGCAGCCGCGAAAGGAACGCCCCGTACCCGCGGGGTCGGGGCCCCAGGGGCCCAACCCGCGAGGCCGAGGGGACGGATACGCTTTGCCCACGATCAGTATCACCCGAACACATTCATACTATGTACTATGTGTGCGTCTGCACCCCAGGGGCGACGCGCGTGCCACACAATCTTGCACTATCAGCTCCGCGGCGGGCCTTTTCCCGTTCTCTGGCCATACGGTTCGGGAAACGACATGATGCCAGCTGCTTGTACTACACGTTCACGGCGAACGCACGCCTCCGAGGAGGACGCACACCGCGCGATTCCCACTCGGGCGCGCCGCCGGCCGCCGAAAGGTCTACGACTCCGTCGAGGAGCAGGTCGCCATGCTGCTCGAGCGCAGGCGAGCGGAGGCGACGGCCTCCGAGCAGGCCGCCGCCGAAGGCGCCGGTTGCCGCCTCTCCCTCCGCCCCCTCCGCCGGGCTGCAGGCAGCGGCGGAGAACTCGGAGGCCAGGAGTCGGGGGAGGAAGGAGGAAGGAGGAGGAGGAGGAGGAGGAGGAGGAGGTGGTGGTGGAGGAGGAGGAGGAGGAGGAGGAGGCCCAGCCCTTTTTTTGTTTTTTTTTGTTTTTGTTTTTTTACGTAGAGCACTGTCCGCTCCTCCTGCTCGCGGTCGTGGATTTTTTCCTCAAGGAAGTTGTTTTGCAAGAAAAATTACGTCAGCGGGCGCAAGCGAGTTGAAGCTGGTGCAGGCGCCAGTCGGGTTACGGGCGGGACGCGCTGGGAACTGATGGAGGCACTGCAGAGGGGGACGGGTGAGAGGCGAAGAGGCGGGATCCGCTCAGAGCAGAAAGAGCCCATGTTTGGTTCATGAATCCTCTTGTGTCGGAGGGCCTAGAGTCTCCACCTGCTTAGAGTCGGAGGCTTCGAGTCGAGAAACAAACAATGACACACATATAAAAACTCTGAGGTCCGCGCGGAGTTCCTGACTCGGTGCTGGGCCCCCTGGGCCGCGCCTACAGGGTGCCGCTCCTGGCGCGCTCCGCGAGCCAGGGACGGGGGCCCGTCGCAGATCCAGGACATCTGTGCTGGCCGTCGACGTTTTATGATTATGCCTTGTGCTCTTTTTCTCTGGAGTCGAAGAACCAACAAGACGGTATAAACATAAACTTCCGGCGCTCCTCGCGGATTTCTTGGACCTGCCCTGGGACCCCCTGGCGGCGCCTCCAGCGCCGCCCCTGGCGCGCTTCGCGCGCCAAGGACGGGGGTCCAGCGCAGATCCAAGAAATCCGCGCAGACCTACAAGAGTTTATATGTTTATGCTGTTGCTTTACTTTTGTACATGTCTCTCTCTCTATATATATATATCGAGGTTGGCACCAAGGCCAATATCGGCGGTATGCCTCCACCGAGGGAAGATGCTCCCGATCTCGGTGGTGGTGGTGATATTCGGGCTTTCTAGCTGGCTGGGCTATTGCCACCAACACCGGGATCTGGGATCATGTCCCCCTGGTGGAGGCAAACCCCTGTGTTGGTGTTTTGGTGTCCATCTCCAGGCCTCGAACGGAGGCCTGCCAGAGAGTGTTCTAAGAACCTTTCGTGGCTCGTACGGAGTGCTCTAAGAGCATTGCTGGCCGAGACGGTCTTGTTTGATTGCGTCGGCTCGGCGCATGCTCTAAGCAGAACATATCTGCAGGTCGTATCGAAACATTTGTTCGTTCGAAGAACACGTCGTGGTAGGCCGATCGGAGTGCGGGTGACGGTCTGTCTATGCTCAGCCCCTGCTCTTGCCCTGGCGGCGTGCAAGCCTGGCGCACCACGGCCAGGGGGCGGCCTATGTGAGAAGGCCCTCCGCTTCGTGGAAGCGACCACCCCCGCCCGCCCGGCTTCGCAGGGGGAGCTTTCTCCGTGTGCTACAGTGGAGACCCATGCCAAGAAACACCCTCCTTGCCTCCAGGGTGCCCTGGGTGTCTTGGACTTCGATGATTTTGCGATGGATGGCGTGGCGGTCCCACACCAAAATCCAGGGGCGTCCTCGGGTGTCGGGGTTGGGTTTCTCGTGGGAGGTTTCTTGTGGATTGGCCTCCGCCGTACTTCAGGCGCAGGGTCGTTTTCAGCTGCCCCCTGGCCCTATAGCCCCTTTTGCCCGCCTTTCGGCGCTGCTGCTGTTCCTGCTTGGCCCCTGCCGTCCCCCAGAGCTCCCGACGCCTCCCCTGGGACAGTTTTTCCGTCCCCATCTGATTCAGGAGGAGAAAAAACACACAGACACAATTAATCGTCGATCCCCCAGAAAATATGGGAAAATATGGGAAGTGGGGGGGAAGACAAAAACCCCGAAAATATGGGAAAATATGGGGAATCCTTTTATTTGTGTTTGTGGGCCCCTTCAGCCTCCCCTGGGACAGTTTTCCGTCCCCCTCTGATCTTTGACCATGGCCCCGGGGCCCGAGAACTGCTCCCGGGCGCAGACATCTGCGGCACAAGCTCTGCGCGTGGTTCTCTCGAGTCGCCGATCTGGGGACCTCGGGCCTCCCCTCAGAGAGTCGACCTCGCTGGGCCTGCCCATGCTGGCCAGCGTCGCGAGCCGCGCCCAGCCTTGGCGACGAGAACCTCCAGACACACCCAGAACGCCTTCGAATTGCAGTCGTCGCCGTCGTCGTCGCCGCCGCCGTCGCCGCCGCCGTCGCCGTCGCCGTCTTCTGACGTCTGTCGTCTTTCGTCTGTCGTTTGTCGCCGTTGCCGTCGCCGCCCCGCCGCCGCCGCCGCCGTCGTCATCGTTGTCGTCGTCGTCGTCGCCGTCGTCGCCGTTCGATGACGGCCGCCGACGACGGGCCGAATGCCGCCGAGGGCCGCCGCGGCCGCAGGTGCTCCCGCGACCGCGCCGACGCAGAGCGTCTCGCCGCCGCCGGGGACGCCGGCCGAGGCCGAGGCCGGGGCGGGCAGCGCTCCCAGAGTTCGAGTACAGTCGGACCGAGGTCGGATCGAGGTCGGATCGAGGTCGGTTCGGGGCGAGGTATAAGTTCGAGGTTTTGGGGCGCCGTCGTCGGTTCTCGGTGGTTTTCCAGCCTCGGGATGCGCTCCAGCAGCTGCGCCTAGCCGAGGGCGGCCTAGGGGTGCCTGGATCGTCCCGAACGGCCACCGGAGAGCCGAGTTATGACCGAACAAAACACCAGGCGTCCGTCGGACCGAGGTCTAAGATCGAGGTCTCTTCGGGGAGGGTGCCCTAGTGTTCTTCGTGCTTGTCGGTAGTTCTTGTGCATCCCAGGGAGGGTACTCTCGGATCTTCTGTGCGTTTTGGCCGGCGCAGGGTCTAGTGTCCTTGAAGGATGTTTTTCTGGCCTAGGTCCGACGGTAGGGGATCGAGCACAGAATCGATTCACCCCAGAGTTGGAGTCCAGTCGAATCTGCGGCATGTACGCAGAGCGTTCCGTCACATCCAGGCACATTCTACGCATTAGTCGTAGATTCGACCGAAGATCAATCTTGGGGTACAGCAATTCTGTAGTCGATCCCCTACTCAACAAAAAAGGGTTCGGCGGCCACACCGCGCGGTGAGTTTGGGGGCAGTCGGGGTGGCCGCACGGCTTTGAGACTGGGTCGGGCAGGCCTCGAATCGGGATGAATCCGCTCCAGAGCGTTCTCAGAACGCTCTGAAACTGCTCTGAAGCTCCAAAACGTTCTGAAACTGCTCTGAACTGCTCTGAGCGCTCTCAGAATGTTCCAGAACGCTCTGAAACTGCCGCGGCGCCCGACAACGGACGGGGCTAGGACGATGATAAATCCATTCCAGAGCGTTTCGGAACGCAGAGCGTTCCAGAACGCTCTGCGAAGGCCACGACGCCCGACACATCCTTCAGAGCTGCTGGATCTCAGAGAATCTCGATCTATCCTCACCCGACTTGATCCTCGTCTGGGCTGCGTCTTACGATACGTCCTCCGAGCCCGCCAGCCCTCAGAGAGTTCCGATTTTGATTGGCCTGATTTTGTCTCGATTCTGCCTTCGTCTCACGCTCGGGGGCGGCCAAGACGGGGGTGATAATCAACCAGGGGGGGGTGGATCTCATGGCGGGGGCCACGATATCTCTCCAAATTTCATGGCGCCCCCGCTTATTTGAGTACGTCCCCTGTCTCCCCCCTGGGCCGCGCCCACCCCTCCTTCGGGCCCACCCCCCCTTTCGGGCCGGACGAAAGGGGGGGATGGGGAAAGGGGGGGTTACGAAAGCTGCTGCGTGCAGCTGGTTTCGGCCCCGCCGCCGGGCCCATTCCTCGAGACATGGGCGCCTCCCGGCGCCAGGAGGCGCCGGGAGAATCGGCTACGCGAGCTGATTCTCCAAGCCCCCCCTCTGCTGTCCCCCCCTTTGGCCCGGCCCGACCCTTGCCTTGGACGCCCCTCCTCACGTGGCCGCCCCCGATGGGCCCCAGCCTTGGGGCTCGCGCCGCTCTCCGAGGAGGTGGCTCCCGGGCGGCGGGGGCCTCCAGGGCTCCGGGGCCGTGCGGCGCGGCGGGCCGTGCATTTTTTTTTTGGTTCTTTTCTCCTGTCACTTCTTAACATTCAGTCGGGCGTGCCCCTCTACAGGAGGCATGTTCAAAAACAGTAAAAAGTAGTCAGGGGACGATTTTGCGAATTTTATGTACCATCTATAGTGGAGTATGTTTGGAATATTTTTTTATGTTTCCTCCAAACTCCGCCTGCAGGGGGAAATGCCCGACCTACGCTTAGCAGCGTTTCGCTGGAGGCTTCTGGCAGAGGTAGAAAATACACACAGAAGGGTCCAACAGGTCAGAGGAGGAACAGGCACCCATACCTCTATCCCTCCGCCGCTTTCCACTTTCTGGGCCTCCCGGGCGGCCCTCGTCGCCACCGCTGGATTCGCGTCGAAATCCTGGGTAGAACGCACCCCAGGAGATGTCTGGCGGCTGGGTTCCCCAGAAGAGTCCCACGGGGGGGCGGGGAGCCCTGGACCGCCAGGTGCGGCAGCCGTTTCGCCGGAGACTCCTTTACGATGTATGCACAAGCCGTGCTCTCGCCTTGATGCCGGCTACGCTTTTGGTCCGGACGGCTACTCCCCTGGTGGAAGACAGTCATGTGCACATGGTGATCGTTCTTATGTTCATTGTTTAGCCGATCGGCGCGGGCCCTCGCACCCCCTCTGCCCCACCCCCCCCTGGAGTAGATCTTGGCGGTTCCTGGCGCCTGTTTGAGCAGGTGGAGTCCCCTCTCACAGGACGCACTGTCGCAAACAGTCGCACGAAGCAGAAGCTCAGAGCCAGACCCCCCCCCCTGTCCCCCCCTCTTCGCTCAATGTCGAAACGCCGAATTAAACAAAACACGCTCACCTGGCCGTGCCCT